TCTGGCGCGAGGTCACACAAAAAATGGAAGATACTGAAGACCCTCACCTGGAAAAAATGTTGCAGCGGGGCCGTGTCTCTAAGCTCTGGGCGCCATTCTACACAAGGTTCGGTGGGAGGAGGCAAGACGAGCAGTTAACCAGATGACAACGGGTACTATCAGAATGGAAACTCTTCGCTGGCTGTTGAGGAGGCAGACAGGGTCTAGTATGGGTATTGTCTTGAATGCTGTGATGTCGAATCTTTACCCAGATGAATCGAGATATGAATTTGAAGCCTAACGGTAGAGGAGAGGGGTTGGGGGGAGAGGGGGAGAAACGTGCACAGATAACCTTACATTTCGACCAGAGTCTTTACCAACTAATAAATAAAAAAAAAAAAAAGAAGAGGAATAGTATAAAACTGCCTCTGCGCGGGATAGTTACGTTGAGGAAGAATTATAACATAAATATGTAAAGTACTATTTCCCTTATTGAGGTTTATAGTGTTGCAGGCTGGCGAAACAAGTAGCCTGTTAATAGTTTGGTTTGGCTGCACTTGAGAAATAAATCTTGCAGATTCGTGAATGTTATGAAAGGCCTTTGCAGTGCAAAAAAAGTTCTCTTAGCTTTCTGCTCCTTGGTCTCGCCAGTTGCCCTATTTGTGTGACGTAATCATTCACAGTTTTTAGCCCTGGGTGGGTTCAAGGGATAGCGGAGATAGATTGACTGGCTCACTGATTTTATTGTGGTGGTACATTTAAATAATTAGACGGTGTTAGATCTAAATTTCTTGTTAGACTGTTAGATCTAGATATTAATGTGTATCATGGCTTAGAGATAGTTTGATTGCAGGTCGCTGGAAGTTATTTATCGAACTGATGGTATTTTAGAAGGAAAAAACAACGCTCATGTTTACAAGATGTTTGGACGAATTTTGCCACCAATGATGTAGTTTCTTGCTCTGAACATTATGGGTTAGTTATTACATTTCCTTGTTAGCCAGAGTGATTAGAACATGGCCTGTTAGACTACGATGTTGATTGTTAATGCTATTTGTGAAGCACGCTAGTTTTGTGTTGAGGAAAGTAAAAAGCTGTTGAATATGATGTGACTGTTAATGTATTGTTATCTGTGAAACACGTTATTTTTGTGTCCAGGAAAGTAAACAACTGTTGAATGTGATGTGATTTGTTGATGTATTGTTATCTGTGAAACAGGTTATTTTTGTGTTCATGAAAGTAAACAACTGTTGAATATGATGGTTGCATTCATTTGTTTGATTCGGAGTATGACTTGTAGTAAGTGTGCCTAGTTTCACTTTAACTGTTAATTAGAGTTCATAAGAAGCATCCTGTCAGGGCTAGGACACAATAGGTCTTAGCCTAACGATTTTTTTTTTCCTTCTTACTAAAGCAGCTTGGGTGTGGGTTTTGACTTCCACACACCACGACATTCTATGTTCGGGCTTATATAGGCTGGGAATAGAGATAGGTCCAAGGAGTATATTTATCTTAACCTTCATTGTGTCTTTCCCTTCCACTGGAAAAGATCCTCCTTTATGCTCTGCTTTCAGTAAAAGTGACATCGTCGGAACAGTATAGGTGGCCAGTGCGCTGTTTTGTTTGTCAAGTCTAGTCAGTTTAGGTTGTCATAGTGATTCGTAGTTTAAGTTTGTTTAGAAATGGCCTAAATGCTGCCAAAGTAGTTAAACGTGTGTAGTTATATGTTCCGCAACAATTATGTTTACTATACTCCTGAGTGGTTTGTGTATGTCGTTCATGAAGGATTGGCTTGTTTATGTCTCGACCTACACTTGGAGTCAGTTTATTTGTAATTCTGTCTTCGTATCAGGTGGAACTTAAGGTCTGTTCATGTTAGGGAGTCTTGTGATAGATACACAGACAAAGACCTGTGATGTCCGATCAGTCCATTGTAGGCTTCCTGAGCATCGAGATATATCCGAACAGTCCATTGTAGGCTTCCAGATAGCCTAGGTAGTGTCCGATCATATCCATTGTAGGTCTTTGGCCGAGGTATGTCCATTGCAGGCTCCCCGAGAGCCGAGGTATAACCGAATGTGTCTCTTGTGAGCCATGCGGCTGAGACAATGATTGAATATGTCTCTCGTAGGCCAGGTGGCTGAGATAATGGTGAAATATGTCTCTCGTAAGCCCAGCGGCTAAATCAGTGGTGGAATATGTCTCACGAAAACTTCGCAGCTAAGACAGTGGTGAAATCTATCTATCGTAAGCCACTCTGCTGAGACAATAGTGGAATATGTCTGATATAATCCCTGTGGCTGAAGTAACAAAGAGCTGAGTGAGCAGATCTGGGAAGAATTATTGGACGTCGAAGAGAAACTCTAGTCAGGAATCTTGAAGTTCCTTGATCATTATGTGTTTGCTGTTTTGCGATTTTGTCTGTTGTGTGTCAGTGATGATTGGGTATATGTTTAACTGCATTGTTCTATTAGGGAGCAGAATAGATGGGAAGGGTTTGTAATAATTTTACTGATTTGATAGTTTTTAGAAAAAAAAAACGCCCATGTTTACAATCTGTTTTGATGATTATTGCCATCTTTGATGTCATTTCTTTGTCGGACGCATACGTTCATTATCCCGTTTCCTTGGGACTAGCCATTCTTTGCTCCTATGTAAACGGCAAAGATTTTTGTTTTGGTTGTATAATTATGATGCTGGTTTTTGTTGTTGTTGGCTATGACCAGTAACTTGGTGGAATGTAGAACAGAAGTGGAAGAGGGATGTAGACACCAACCGTTGTCAGGATGGCAACAAATTTAGTAGGAGAATATATGTAGCAGGCTAGCGACGCAAGTAGCTTCACGGTATGGTTTGATTTGGCTGCACTTGCAAAATAAATCTGGCAGGTTTGTGAAGGTCATCAAAGGCTTTGTGTAGCGCGACAAAACTTTTAGCTTTCTTCGCACTGGTCTCGCCAGTCGCAGTAGGGACAGGTCGTCCCACCTATCGGTGTGGCGAAACCATTCATGATTTTTAGCGCTACGTGGGTTCAGGGGGACTAAGCGGAGATAGATGGATCGGATCACAGATTTTATGGTGGTGGTTGTATGTTTCAATAGTTAGGCATTGTTAAATCTAAATTTCTACCAGTAGTTAGACTGTGTTAGGTCTAGATATCAAGGTGATTCATCGGAAATAGTCTTATTACTGGTCTCTCTGAAAGTATGCATTCATTATCTCATTGCCTTGTTAGCCAGAGTGAGTAGTTTATAGTCTGTTAGAACACGATGTTGATTGTTTATGTATTATTATCTGTCAAGCACGTTAGTTAATGTGTTGTTATCTGTGAAGCACTTTAGTTAATGTATTGTTATCTGTGAAGTAAGTTAATGTATTGTTATATATGTGAAGCACGTTAATGTATTGTTATCTGTGAAGCAAGTTAATGTATTGTTATATCTGTGAAGCAAGTTAATGTATTGTTATCTGTGAAGCAAGTTAATGTATTGTTATATCTGTGAAGCAAGTTAATGTATTGTTATATCTGTGAAGCATGTTAATGTATTGTTATATCTGTGAAGCACGTTAATGTATTGTTATCTGTGAAGCAAGTTAATGTATTGTTATATCTGTGAAGCAAGTTAATGTATTGTTATCTGTGAAGCAAGTTAATGTATTGTTATATCTGTGAAGCACGTTAGTTAATGTATTGTTATCTGTGAAGCAAGTTAGTTAATGTATTGTTATCTGTGAAGCACGTTAGTTAATGTATTGTTATATCTGTGAAGCACGTAAGTTAATGTATTGTTATATCTGTGAAGCACGTAAGTTAATGTATTGTTATATCTGTGAAGCACGTTATTTAATGTATTGTTATCTGTGAAGCACGTAAGTTAATGTATTTTTATATCTGTGAAGCACGTTAGTTAATGTATTGTTATCTGTGAAGCACGTTAGTTAATGTATTGTTATATCTGTGAAGCACGTTAGTTAATGTATTGTTATATCTGTGAAGCACGTAAGTTAATGTATTGTTATATCTGTGAAGCACGTAAGTTAATGTATTGTTATATCTGTGAAGCACGTTAGTTAATGTATTGTTATCTGTGAAGCACGTAAGTTAATGTATTGTTATATCTGTGAAGCACGTTAGTTAATGTATTGTTATCTGTGAAGCACGTTAGTTAATGTATTGTTATCTGTGAAGCACGTTAGTTAATGTATTGTTATATCTGTGAAGCACGTTAGTTAATGTATTGTTATATCTGTGAAGCACGTTAGTTAATGTATTGTTATATCTGTGAAGCACGTTAGTTAATGTATTGTTATCTGTGAAGCAAGTTAGTTAATGTATTGTTATCTGTGAAGCACGTTAGTTTAGTATTCGGGAAAATAAACCGCTGTTGAATGTGCTGATTATATTCATTTGTTTCAGAAAGACCGAGCCATATGTGATTTGTTTTCCTGTTCATATTCCGCTTTGTCGCAGGTTAACAGACACACATGTAGGAAAAGTTGTCTAATTAGGGGCGTAACCTTCGAGTTGTGAGTACACCTGGCTGCTAGTCATGGAACCAACAGTCTGCATACAAATGATCAGATTTGTAATACTGATGGGCATGCAAAATTCAAGGTCTGGAGCAAGACCAAAATCTAGAAGTAGAACAACAACCAAAGGTTGTCATTTGGAGTTTACTGCCGGTGAACGCAAAAGAAGAAGACGATTGCCAATGGTTATCCCATACCTTGAGACTCCCACAACATCAGAGCATACCAGGCAACTGAGCGGGCATAGCTTGGATACCGATCATCTGTTAACATGCGACGCCTTACGGCAAAAAGTAGAAAATTGACAAAGGAAAGAAAAAAGAATCCTATATGGCTCAGTCTGTCCCCGCAAAACTGCTAGCTGCCTATCGAAATTGTTGCACAAAACTATAATTTTGTAGCTCTAGCGACGATATCCTTAGATCTTCCAAAACATTTCTAGCAACAGTAATTTCCAACAATATTCATAGTCAGTTTTTCTGTTTAATTATTTATTTCTGGTAGCCAGATAGACTTCCGCCATCCGTATTTCCAGCAAGCTGTGTCTCGTCGAACCCCTCGTCACCAACACACACAACATTTGGCCTGCAGCAGTAAGGGTAGTTTAACTCCGTGTTGTAGCGGAGATAGCAAGATGTACGGTCGTATTCAACATCAGAGGTACTGCAGCTGTGAAACCAAAGAAAACATCGCATTTCAACAGTCTGAGTCCTTAAATTACAAAGATTTTGAATGCCCAAATTTTGCTCCTTTCAGTAGCTATGTCTTTCTTCTTTTTCTCAGGAGTAGCTGGTTGAACGTATTGGAGTCACCCCCTACCCTTCCCAGCCCCATCCCTACCCAGAATCAAATGTGCTCGCTCGCCCTCGAAGAAAGCACAGCCGTGGTTTATCAGGCTTCACTTCTAGGTCACGAATTACTTTTACCATCAGAGACTAGGCGTTATCAACCAGCCTAGTTCCATGGTCCATGCTGACGTAATTGCCTTGTAAGCGCCATTTTCCTCTTTAGTATCCCATACTGAAAGTCGTGAACTTGTTTATTAACCATATTATTTAATTATTGACTGTTCGGGCTGTTGCCTTCGAAGACTGAGTGCATCTGCCTGGAAAAGGGGGGGGGGGGGGGTTGGGGGTCTAATTACCGACACAGGGCAATCAATGCTGCCCCCCCCCCCCCCCCCCGATATGGGTTTTTATATGACGCCTTGGGGAAAACTTTTAAAAAAAATATATATCCTTATATAAAATTGGTAAATGTTTCGTTTCGTAACTATACATTTTGTACATTTTAACAATCTGGGGTTTTTTTTTTTTTTTTTCTTCTTCTTTTTCTCCGTCTATCTTTTCTTCTTCTTCTTCTTCTTCTTCTTCTTCTTCTTCTTCTTCTTCTTCTTCTTCTTCTTCTTCTTCTTCTTCTTCTTCTTCTTCTTCTTCTCCTTCTTCTTCTTCTTCTTCTTCTTCTTCTTCTTCTTCTTCTTCTTCTTCTTTTTTTTCTTTTTCTTCTTCTCCGTCTTCTTCTTCGATCTCCCAAAGCGGCATTGGCCCTAAAGCAACTCACGCCAAGTCGGTCTGTGTTGCGCTATTTTCTGCAGCTCTTCCGATGTCCTCCGTATCTTTGATTGGCTGGGGTTTTCTTGCCTTTTTGTTTGTCTTTTTTTTTTTAAAAATGGTTCTTCGGATTTTGTAGCTATCTTTATTACATAATAAGGTAGCCACCTCGAAGCCCAACCCTTCCCTTAGTGGCCTCTTACGACATGCTTGGTAGGGTGCAGTGTTACTATTCATTGCTCCCCGAGAGGGCCCGGTAACACACGGGCATGTACACAATTCTACACAGTTCTACACAGTTCTACCTGACAATAATTACCTTACGGTGCTGGTATAACCTGAATAGCATTGAATTGCTCTGCATCCCCGTAGATAAATGACATCACCCTGCTGGTAGTTTCCCGGACAACCTCCTGGATTATGGAAACAAATTCAGGAGAATTAACTAGAACATATCGCGACAACTGAAATATTTTGAAAAGATAAATAAAGAAAGACAATGAGGGGACATTCTTGGCAGACTTTTTTTGGCACGACACCGAAAACACGACCGAATGTTAAGGGTTTAAAACCACATTAAAGCGTTTTTTCCCCCCTTCAAAATTGACCCTTGCTCCTAGGTCAACCCAGCCCTCAAGGGGTAACAAAAAACGAGCCGGGATGTCAAGAGGGCTGACGTGATGTTGACAACATCATCAACTGAGTGCTGAATGGTCTTTAACAACTTAGAGCAAGCACAACATGCCCTATGTGTCATCAATGTTAAACAGTACCTTTCTTCTTCTTCTTCTTCTTCTTCTTCTTCTTCTTCTTCTTCTTCTTCTTCTTCTTCTTCTTCTTCTTCCTCTTCTTCTTCTTCCTCTTCTCTTCTTCTTCTTCTTCTTCTTCTTCTTCTTCTTCTTCTTCTTCTTCTTCTTCTTCTTCTTCTTCACTTCCTCTTTTACCGCTGTGGGTGTCGAGGGAGATATAAGGTTCTGTTTCTAGCTCTTCTGGCCGCCACGACCATAGGCACATCGTGCTGTTGTAGAATGTCTCTGATGTTATCCTTCCATCTTGTTCTTGGTCTACCTCGTGCTCTACGTCCTTCTTCTCTTTCCATGTATGCTTTGTATGGTATGGTGTCACAAGGCATTCTCTTTAAGTTCGCAAACCATTTCACTTGCTGTCTTTGTATGTAATCCAGAAATGGTTCTGTGCCGACTTTTTCTCTTATGATCTCATTCCCGATCTTATCTCTTATGGTCACTCCTACAGCCCTTCTCAGACATCTCATTTCCGTGGTTATTAATTTTCTTTTATGTTACCTTTACTTGTCCTAAACTGCCTTCTGTAATTGTGGGAACAGCAGCTTGTGTTAGATTCATCGAGAAACAGCAGATTAAGTGGTTTGGCCATCTCGTTAGAATACAGCAAGATCAAATACCATCACAAGCACTACATCTTAGTGGTTCAGCTAAAGGGCAAGAGGACAGCCACGGAAAACATGGATCGACAACATGCCTTCACGGCATGACAATAGCCAGTGGCAGCCAGCGTGCACTGGATCGCAAATTATTCCTCCCCACGCCGTTTATTAATAGCAGAAGTGGTTTATGATAAGGATGATGATGTTGATAACTTACCTTCTGTGTTAAAATTACTAGAGCCAAAGAAAAAACCAGGAATGCTAACACTAATGGCTTGGTCTGAGTAAGTTACAAACTGGAGACCCAGCAGGGTCAAGATTAGAACAGCCAGCATGATCAGAGAGATTGGTGGACAATGTGCAAGTACTTTACTTCGTGTGTGGATTTACTGCGTGTGGTCAGATGAAATCAGACTTAAATTGTCTATTACAGCCAACAGGTGTGGACAGACACCCCCCTCCACCCCGCCCGGGGCCACCTAGTCATTGTATCTGTATAATGACATGTTCACTTAAACAGATTGTGCGTTTATAGAGGGACATTAGATGTTGGGGCGATGGGATGAGAGCAGTGGGAACGGGAGTTGATTGAGCTGAGCTGAGTTGAGTTTCAAGAACCGACATCACAGCACTAGAGGCAATCCCATATTTGCTGCGTCATCAACTTCAGCAGCCAGCGAAGAGTTCCTGCTCCCATAGCAGCAGCAGCAGTCTGAATGAATGCTGGTCTTGTTTTTTTCTCTGAGTATTGAGTGTTGGCAAGATCCCTTGGTCACTCCCTCTTCAGAACGTGATAATCTAATCCTGCCTCGGTACTTTTCACTCGCTCCTAAAGGGCCTTGACATTGAGCTTGATATGCATCCGTTTAATACCGAGTGCTGCAGAACCAGTCAGTCAATCTCTGTTTGTTTCATAACACACTTGAACGCCGTGGGAAAAACATCCAAAGGATGCTAACGAACCTGGACCTCTGATTTGATCCGTTCCACTCTGCTCGGAGCAGTTATGTCTTCACCTTTCTCAGCATGCTTTGCGATTCAGTTACAGTCCTAACATGTGTGGCAGCTAATTCTTTAATCCAACAAAAAGAGGCAGTGACCGCCTTCATTTCCTTACACAAACTACATGTCTCGATATCATATACCAGCTTTGTTGCACTAAGGGACGTCCCTTCGCTTTTACTATCTATATATTCTTCTTCTTCGCGTTCACCAGCTGTAAACTCTGTCGGAAAATTCTGGTTGGTCGTCAACTTCTGAACTGCAGTTCTGCTTCAGAACCTAAGTGTTGCGTGTACATCCGTTTTACAGATGATTCACCTGAATGCAGACTGTTGGTTACTTGCCTCTCATGTAGATGCACTCCGACTTCAAAGGAAGCTCCCTAATTAGTCGACTCTTACGACATGCTTTTCGGTAGGCAGTGGGTCAATTCTTGTTCCCCCCCCCCACAACGTGGCCCTGGAACCCACATGGTGAGCTTTAACTATGACCCCCAGGCGACTTCTTCTGTATTCAACCATTGGCATTGCTGCTCAGCCAATTTGACCCCCTCATCCGCTCGCCAAATATTTTCAAGCATGCACACAGGTATAATTATGTCCTTGTTGAAGATGCCTTCCAGAAAAAGAAACCCACTATTGCAGTCTGAGTGGATATGGAAAAGGCCTTCGACAAAGTGTGGAAAAAATGGGCTGAAACAAAAGCTACTTGAAAGTGGAATATCCCATCACATGCTTTTTTGAATCGTGAAATATCTTGAAAATCGAACTGCAAGAGTAAAGATACACGGCTCAATGAGCAGATCAGTGACACTGAAATATGGAGTTCCACAAGGCGGAGTTATGCTCCCAGTTCTTTTCGTCATGTATATTAAAAACATAAAATCCACCATATGAAATGGAGTTGAAGCTGCCATGTACGCCGATGATCTGGCGCTACTGAGCTCAGAGGAGAATGTTGGCGCAGCACAGACAAGACTTCAAAAATTCCTCGAAAATCTAGAGAAGTGGTCTAATAATTTGTACACTGGCTTGAAAGGCAATGAAATAGCGGACAGGTTGCCTAGAAGCGGGAGTGACATGGTACAACCAAACATTGACTTAACCCACCAAGATACTAAGACAATAATACAATCTAGTATCCAAGAAAGAATGGTAGCTGGATACACACGCCAAATTTTCTACTCAAGATTAGCTTCATCCCTCTCTAGAGATGACATTGTTTTATATTCGGACTAATGACAGGACACAAATGACTTCATTAACATAAGTTCACACTTTTCGGTGTAGGAAACACGAAGACGTGTCCCTGTAGAGTGGCACCCGAAAATGCTGAGCATGTTCTACAACACTGTCAGCTGTATGCTGATACCAGAGACGCAATATGGCCGGTTCCAAGACAATACTGTATGGTACACGAGAAGATATGGACAGCAAGATAGGTTACCGGCCTCCTCATATAAGTTTTCTGACAGAAGAATCGAAGCAGAAAAAGAAGAAAATATTATAATATAATTTTAAAAGGTTCTAAGTTTGAAATATATACTTAAAAAAAAAAAAAAAATGCATTAAAAAACATTAACAGAAAATTGCATTAGTTAAAAAATAAAAAATGTAATTTTTAGGTCCCTGCAAATTATCAGCACTAAGTTGTAGTTTATTTAGCCAATATCTAGAGTTGCGTTGGATCTGTGGCTAAGTCGATGCGAACGCTTCATAATGCAGGGATGCCGTTTGATCCCAGCTGCGGGCCACGCGCCCTGCGTTGGTTTCAACAGTGGTATCAAGAAAGCCGACCGCCCAGAAAGCAATGGCAAACTACTGAACGTAAATTTGTCTAGAATAACCACACAACAGCCAGGTGCTGTTGGGGTTGGTTCTGCAACGTCCTGTAAAGGATACACAACTAACCTTAATAGAGAGATCTATAGTTGCATCCACTAGAATGGCATCTTGATAGGAGTTTTCATTTATGCTGTCCCATAGATAATTTCTAACTAAATTTCTTAGTTCCCTGTCACTGAAATATGTCTCATGAGTTATGAGTTGGATTTTCTTCACAACACTTCGGGCACATCCATAGGTTCTCATATTCCGCCTTCAACATATGCATCAGCGTCCCAGGGTTAATAATGCCAGACCTACGCTGACTGACAAGACTCCAATTGCATCCAGTGTGCCTCTCGTGTTTGGCGGTGCCGATCTTCACTTCCAGCTCTTGTATTCTTAACGGTGATGTGACACGTTGCTTCCAAAATCCTCGGAACGTCCCAATATCTCTAAGGGCGTTGACAAAGTATTCGTGATCCATGGGCAGGCTATCTACAAATGACGCACAACCTGCCAGCTTTTCAGCTCTTTGATTGTCAACAACACGTGTATGGGACACATATGAAGTTAAATGCACGTACAGGATAGTTTTGCAATGACTTAATCCACTGTCTGCGAAACCAACCTGCCTCGACCTGCCGGATCATGCTCATAGAATCACTGAGCCTACAGACGTGGGAATAGTCATGTGATCCTAGCCACATTAAAGTTTGTCTCACCGGTATCACCTAAATCGTCATGCTGCTGGTAGTCATGGAGACGGCATCGCTGGTTTCTTGGACTGTTCTGCCTGAAGAGCCAGCAGTAAATGTCCATGCACTTTTATGTTCTCGTAAAACGGACCCTATCATTATGATCAGTTGAGTTGAGTCAAGAGTTGACATCACAACTCTCGGGGCATTCTCATATGCTCTCTGTCCTCATCTTCAGCAGCTAGCACATAGTTTCAATACTAATTGTACCCGTCACCATCGAGTTATATGTCCGTCTTGTCTTTCCTCTAAGTTTAGTGAGCTGGCCAGACCCACTGGTTACACCCAGGTGCTTCATTCTCTCCAGGCCGTAATAATCTTATTTTTCTACTGGTTCCGTTGTTTGTTCCCAAAGGGCCTTGACTACATCTGCTTTGTCATGTATCCATTCACAACCCAGTGGTGTAGATCCAGCTAATCTATCT